CTCCCCTATCACCGTGATATCGCCTGGCGGTTTCCTTGCAGTCTCGTACTTGAAAAGCCGCGAAACGACAGAGGATATTGATATTATTATTGATCCTCAATGGACTGGAGACAAGGATATAATACTAGCACTCCGAGAACTGTTCTCATCAGTTGGAAAGAAACTTGGCTTGGATCGCAAATGGGTAAATGATGATGTCTCCTTGTTTCTTACCCAGAAAGCTCGCGAACAGATCTTCGATGCTGCCGGCAACCAAAATATTGTACTCTATGAGGGACCAAATCTTAGAGTGCTAGGTGCGCCCTTGGAATGGGGTCTTGAGTCGAAACTACGGCGGATAAATAGCAAGCCTGACCATCCTAAGGTGCCTACGGATATACAGGATATCCTTATTATCCTGAAACTACTGATAGAACGCAATAACGGGCCATTAAATAGGCAGCAGGTGCGCGAGAAAAACACAAATCACATTAACGAGTTGATAAGGCACTAACCTGTCAGAGAGTGTAGCGCTGAAGATTGCAAGGAAGGCGAGTCCACTATATACTCCAAGCCAGTACCCAATACGTTCGTTGGGCCTAGTATCGTTGGCATTTGTCCACCATTGTAACCAAAGGGCTAGATATATTAGCAAGGTCGTGGGGTAGCAATATGGCTTCCAAGACTTACAGGGGAAAGTGACGCCGACAACGAAGGCACAACACGCCAGTAGGTAAAGTGAGATAGTCCACCACCCGGCGTTCTTTGCATAGTAGGCATATACCTTCATGTCCCCGGTCATACGACTACTTTCAAGTTCAGGATCTTCTAGTATCTCAAGTTCATGCAGCACGTCGTCTGAAAGTTGTTGTTCTGGTCGAGATGTGGTAGTTGTTTGGCTTTGGTTCGCAAGTTGTTTGATATCATCATCTGCTGATAAGCTTTCTAGGTTACCTTGCCGAGCAATTTCCCCATTTTCATTGAGGAAAATGATGTTGTCTGCAAAACTAAGGTGGTTCGCTTTTCGCCAGTATTAGCAAAGCGCTAGGTAACTATAGTATGAACACAAGGCTTACCAGAATTTGTAGCAAGAATAACAGTGGACTTTAGCTTCTTCAACAAACCGTCGGGCCCGAAAATTGTATCTAACATGTGCCGCTCGGTCGCCCGATCAAGCCCCGTCAAGACGTCGTCGAGAATCATAGTAGAGTTCCTGGAGTAAAGTGCACGAGCAAAGGACTAGATAGAACAGGGTCAACATTTAGTACGTAGTTTGCTTCTAACGGAAGGCCTATCTACCACTTACCACGCGCATTTTTTGACCGCCACTGAGCCTCGAGCCTTGGGTGCCAATGTGTGTTTGATCTCCGTTTGGTAGTTCCTCAAGATCTGTTCGAAGGGCACAGGCAGAAACAACAGTATCATACCACTTTTTATCCCACTCACTCATACCAACAATGTTACTTTGGACAGTCCCCCACGTAACCCAGGGGGATTGCGGGCAATATGCAGCCAGAGAGAAGCCAGTTCTTATTAAGCCGGATACGGACGGCATTTCACCAAGTAAAAGTTTTAGAAGAGTAGATTTTCCAGAGCCAACGGAGCCAAAAACCATGGTGATTTCACCACGAGGAATCTGGAAGTTAAGATTCTTTAGAGTTGGCGAGTCACCTCCTATTGTGTAACCTACCGACGCTCCCTCGACAACGGCTACAAATGCATCAGTGTCTGAGTCAGGGTCCTGTATCTCCTTCAGAATGATAGTATCTTTCAGGGTATCAGCAGGAGTAGAAAGCCCGGAAACTGAAGAGTCCCTCCTATCATGCAGTGGTATCCTGTAATCCACTCTCTCCTGTGAGTTGAGGTAATCTTGGATACGGCCGAAGCAATTGAGAACAGTTTGAAGGTTCTCGAAGCCATTGATAATAGTGGTCATTGGATGATTGAGTAGTTCAAAAAGGCTGAGCGAAGCAAAAGCGACTCCTTCAGTCAATGTTCCTGTATTATTTTTCTTTGCCAGCAAGATGAATGCGGTGAAGCCCCAGACCGGAGCCAGTTCAGAAGAAGCAAATGCTGGGAGGTTTCAACATTAGCCGTCTTTTCATTCCTTGTTAGGAGTATTACTTGGCTTCGCTCACCCGCAACAAATACTAGTATGCTATACACACCATGGCGAAGAGAGGCACGAATCTCGTCCAACCGCAGATTTGTAATACGGGAAGACACGATGTCGGCTAGGCCAGTCATTTTAATTGCCTTTGTTGAGCCCAATGACTTTGCAGTGGCAGCAAGACGAATTTCTATTGCTTCCAGCCACGGGATTTGGGCATCAGCTGCTGCCTTTGCAACAGGGACCCCTATAATCAAGCAGGCTATATAAAGTGGTTAGACTTGTCTCAAGGCGCCCGGAATTAGACGTTGTCATACCGATAATCCATCCAACAGGAGCAACGATGGCAATTCCAAGGAGCCTGTGCAACTGCCAGAGAGCAATAGCAATCTCGATGAAACCAGCATAAACCTCGTGAACAAGAGTCATGCTATAGCCAATACGGTCAATATCTGCACTCATCAAAGTGATTGCTTCTGCGTTGTCCTCATTTGTGGAGCCGACGCGCAAAGTCTTGCCAAATATAAAGGTGACTAGACTACCGCGGTACAGAGTGAGCAAACGGTACGTTTTATGCTCATAAACCGCGTATGCTACCTTCATTCATGTGTAAGTACTTATGGTGATTGATACGCAGATATTAGTGGGATTACTCACTGAAAGTCCAATATAAACAACTGCATAGCCCCCGATAAGTGAGTAGGCGATATTACTTGTCTGAGCATGAGGGGCTTGGGCAGTAAAGTCGAGGACCCGTTGGACAAGAAAGGGCTGTGAGTAACTAAAACCGGTATACGCCAATCGAGGCAAGATGCCGGCCATGATATACCATTTATAATGAGTGAAAAACACCCAAAATAGGGAGTATCTCTTAGTTTTATCCGCTACGAGTACTAAGTCAGCACCACCCGAAATCAAGATAGATGGAAACCAGAAAAGTTAAAGGAGTCAACAACGTACCATTTTCCCATTTTTCAAGAAGGGCAGTTGGCTCAGATGCAGCCAGCAGCTCTTTGTCGATAGGGGTTATCGTATTGACAGTTAGTAACGTCCGGAAACCGTTGATGAACAGGCGGTTTAGCCATAGGAAGAGCGATCGGTTGATAACGCCGCTTGTTGCTTCGGGAGAAGCATCTTTCCACTTTGCCAGCAGGAGGTGGCGCTTCTCGGTAGCCTCCAGAATAAAGGCCAGAGATTTGACAATAAAAGCAGCCAGGGATATCAGCGCCACGGTATGGCTGTCTTGGATGAAGAAAAGGCTGCGAGTCCTCGCCAGGTCCAAGAGGGTCGAGATGCCCAGGTAAACGTTCAGCAGCGTTGACGGCCGCACGCAGCGTACATGCTCGAGATACGAGACGGCTGCCAGGATGCAGTACCCGGCTATCGTCAGGCTAGCGCAGGCCAGCGTCAGTCTCGTCTTGGGCGCTTGATGCTGCGCATACAGGCCGAGCGTCGCCGTCTGGAGAGCGACGAGGACGGCGTAGGTGGCCTGTCACGTGACGTTAACAAAGTTTCACTGGCTAACTTTAGGCTGACGTCGCGGCATCAAACTAGTTAACGAACTAGCGACTTCTTCGACCTGAAACGCCGACAGAAGGGCAGAAGGGAGGGAGGGAAGAAGGAGACGGAGAGGGAGAAGATGACGACGGCGGTGACGAAGAAGATGAGGGAAATATGATACGTACCAGCTTCAGTGCGGCGAGCCATGATCTTCGTGCTTTGGCTGGCTCGCGGCGAAGGGCGAGGAGTCGGACAATTGCCCACGCAACTAGACAGACAGTCAACGGGTCAGCACCGAGATGGAGAGCATAGCGAATAGCTAGTTCTGGAAGCACATTATTACATACCTGCAATGCCCAGGGGAGGTAAGGTCAGAATGCTTTCTTCGAAGAGGAGAGTGAAGTCGAATCCTCCGAGACATGAGCCAGCCACTGAGGGTCCGAACACGTCCTCGACCTCAATCGAGCATGCCATTGCAAGGAGTAAAGCAGAGCAGCTAGTCACAGAGCCGGACTCCCAAACGAAAAATCACAAAGGAAAAAGAGGATGTAGTCCTTCTAAATGCACCAGACTTCAGGGGACGATAAAGAAGGGGGCCATTTGGCACTTGTCTCGTTTTCGAAGAGTCGCACAGAGTGCGAGGGATATCAACCGTCTGTTTCCATCAGCTCTAATTGAGCCAATGTTACGGAGTACTATAGTTGGTTACCTGGACCAGGGATGGTGACTTGAAAGGGGTCTAGATAGGGTGCAGTCGGTCCCGGTAAAGGATGCTTCCCTTTTGGATGTGGAGGCTATCAGTCTCACTGGTTTATACTTGCAAGTTATCGCGCCGGCTGTTAGGATGCAAGCTTTGCCATTTGCAGCCGTACAGACGGACGAAGCATCCTGAACTCGTTAGTTTACTTGCTTGTTATTTTAGTTAACAGGGCTACTATTGACAGGGATACTCCGTCCTGGCGTTTTTTCATTTGTTTTTCCTCGTTCCATCGATGCGCACTCACGGCTGGGAGCCATGGGCTCGTTAGCTCGAGCCATTTACCCCATGGCGATCATTTCTAACTCGTTTAACTAGATTATATGAGTTAGTGGCAACAACTCGAGCCTCTGATAGCTTCTTTGTCTCCCGCAGCCAAGTCGCGGCAACCGAGCACCGTACATATACATCCGTGGTGGGGCGTAGTCGAAGCCTCCCAGACAATGGCCCGATATAAGAGGCGTCTGAAGAATCAACGGCTGGAACAGTGGCTACAAGGGCGCCTAACTATGCTCCGGAGAGCCTTGGCTCTGGACAAAAGGCGACAGTTCGCCAGCTAGTTCAACTTAGCTAACGAAGCAGCCTTATCGTTAACTATATTCCTGAGTTTTGGCTTGCATCTGGGTTCTCGCGCAGCTGGCTGCTCCTTTGCGAGACGAGCACAGCACAGGCTCGCTAGTGACCGGATCATCTTGCTCCTATAAGCGAGAATGCGCTGAACATGAAGGAGCTGCATCTTTATGACCCTGTCTAGGAACTAGTAACGCAGTGATCCCCACAACAGACGGGGGATAAACTAACTAGTATGCAGTAGTTAGTTTATTTTATATACTACGGAAAGATTGTGAGTGCTTCCAGACTTTGTATTATTATATATTGACTAGGGGGGTTTCCAGCAACTGAACCACGTAACTTCGGGGTGGGGAGGGGGGGGGGGGAAGATCTTGATACATACATACTTACAGGTGATGAAGAAACAGGCGATTCTGAGATACCCGACGGCAGTTGGAAAAGATGGTTAATATCTTCTAGCTACCATACTCCGTACTCCGTATCTATATTATAAGATTTCGGGCCGCTGTCGCATCTTTCGCCTAGCGGTAATTAAGACGGCACCACCCACCATTAACTATAGAGCAATTTGCTGGCTATAGAACCGGGTAGACGATATACCTCGTGGTTATTTTCCTGGATGCTTTTGTTACCCGTACTGGCCAAGTGGTCAACCGGTTCGATCCCTCGCTTGTTCCAATAACCATCTGCATGCAGTCCAGATAGGAATCGGAGAGAGCAAGCACCATCTCGCGGATCGTTGGTGAGATGCACTGTATAGAGAATGTAGATACGACCCCAGTCCTGGACTCCTGGTGCCACGGTGTCATGGTGGAATGAGGCCTTGCAAGTGCCGTGCTGACAGGGAACAAGGCTGTCTGCAGCAGCCAGAGGAGAATGCACTTATCTTCCATCCTTGCGCTCAGCCCCTGACAACCGAAAATAGCGTCATTGCTTGTTCACCCCCTGGTTTCGGCTGCGTTGCTTGACTTTGTTTTAGCGTTTTCCAGCACATGCACCGGTAGTTAACTTACTACACCAGCAAATCAGTCGAAGATCCATGGGTTGGCTGGCCAGGGAAACAGATGGCTAAATAGACCATGGCCGGTAAGTTGTCTGGGTGCATAGCAACGTTGCGCGCATGTCCAAAGGGGTTTAGCTGAACCCTGCTTCTCCGAAAGATGTGTTACAGCCGGTTTCTCGAAGCTGCAAGTTGAAAAGCAAGCCGCAGGACCGTATCGTCGTGGGAAAGATATTATGCCTGGTCCCCGTGGACCCCCCTGGAAACTTGGGGTGAAGATGATGCACCACATCGAGCTTTTCCCGTCATTCAATAACAGAACGAGCTCGCCTGCATCCTGTGAGACCTACTTGCTGCATCTACGGCTGAAGACAAGTGACGTGATTCGCTTTCAGAAGGATTTGTGTGTGGAGGGGCTTTCCATTCAATCTGGCATCTTGCACATCACTGATGGGGAGTGTGACAGATGTCTTCACGATGCGGTCAGAAACATATTCCCTAGCTCGTTCAGCCCGCACCAGCCTCTGTAAACGGCTGGTATCAAGTTGTTGTACAAAGCGATCTTCGCGCTGATACTTGGCTCCTCACATGGCCTCAGCCGCCACATGTGCCCCCCCAATATAGATTGTGCATACAGGGAGTACGGGAGCGTAACAGTTGTCATATTATTATTGTCCCGTTGGTCGATATCCGTCTTCCTTGCTTGCTGATCTAGAACTCGCACCAGCTGGAAGGATTAGGTAGCACAACCAATGCCTTTTCGCTTCATATCGAAACTTTTATTTCGTTTGCTCTTTCGTCTAATCCCGGTCTTGTCTTTTGTCACCCTGCTTCGGCTTGTTATTTACTTTATGATTTTCCCCCTCCTCAATCCTTTCCATGGCGTAGGGTACTCCGTAATTTGGCATCAAATACATAACCCCGGAGGATGCGAGGTACATCTTGCCGCTTAATGAAACTTCCAAAGCATGGCTAGAATTTGTACTAAAAACCAACGTGCCGCCTTGCTCCTATCCCAGGGCCACCATACACCCAGGTGCCCCAGGTGATGTTTAGCTCACGGGATCTGCATGGCCGGGGCTAGTAGGATTTGCTAAGGAAGCGTTTTGGGCGGAAGCACCGATCTCCCGGAGAGATATCCCCAGGTAACTTGTACCCTCCTCCACAACGCAAAAACATCACTAGATCCACTCCTGCGGCAGAGAATATCGGACACGGCGGGCACACTTACCCGTATATTACCGCATCCAATGTGTGAATAGGGATATCAGTGGGGATTATTCAAGGCATGTAATTAGTATTTCTAGCAGTTATATCCTTGTTTCTTCAAAATGGTTTGTAAGGCAGCGGGATAATTGGGCGGAAGGGTTTTGGATGTGATGCAGTGATGCATACCTATAGTCTCTTGGTTATTCAACCCTCTTCCTTCTGCCCCTCCTGTCCCCTGCTCAAGCCGATACTTATATTAGTAAATAAAGAGAAGCGGAATAGGAATGACAAAATAATAAAAATAAAACACAAACTTTGAGAAAGCATCCCAGCGAATGCTAAGGGGGTATCGGATGGCTGGGTTAACCGAGATTTGGGAGGTGATTAGGTAGTGCTGGAATTAAACTCGAATGGCGCTGAGTATATCCACTCTTGCGAGCTATACTCAGTGAAACTACCTATGATAGGGTAAGTCAGGTTCAGTGGGAAGGATGGGAAGTCTTTGTCGTTAAATGACAGCCGGGATCGTAATTTCTATAGTGGGTGGGTAGATTGACATAAAAAGGGGAATGTTAACGCCAACCTTCCCTTCCGACTGATGACCATAACCACAGACTTCGTTCATCATTTATCATTTGATCAGCTGTCCATACCTTCTTTACCTTATCGGTACTCTGTAATTGTTGACCAATTCCGGGTATATAATCATGAGATATCAAATTCATGAAGGAAGTGGATTTATGGACGGTGACACCAACAATCAACACTGGGGCGAGAAGTATGCCTTCGACAGCACCCGCTCTCTGGATCGAGCTGTACCAGAGCCTGTCGAGGCCTGCATCCACAGCTTAATCAAGCGGGTTGCCTGGGAGAAGCCAGGAGCTCCAGCAATTTGTTCCTGGGACGGGCATCTGACCTACCTCCAGCTAGATCAGCTGTCAATTGGCCTGGCATGTCAACTGGTAAATTCGGGGTTGACTCCGGGTTCGAGAGTGATTCTTTGCTTTGACGAGACATGCCTAGCACCCCTCTCTATGCTGGCTGTAATGAAGGCCGGGGGCATCTCCATAGCCCTTGATATCAGACAAAATCGGGATCACCTCCGAGAGATCGCAGATCAAATCTCCCCACACACCATTCTCTCGTCTTCGGAAAGTGAACAGCTAGCACGATCCTTGCCGAAAGGCAATGTTATGATTGTGGACCATAACCTGTTGTCGAGTATAAATGATCCCTTGGAACCGTCCGGTAAGCTGCCGGTCGTGAACCCATCGGAAGCTGCAGCAGAAACATATAGTGTCGACAGCGTAACAGGGCTTGCGCGCCGAGATAATATCATCACGCATCGGGATCTAAGCAGCGCCGCCACATATCAGCACGGAGCGCTCGGACTCACTAGTAACGCGACGATATCCAATTCTGGGCGATCTTTCCCGGGTTCAGCATGGCGCGAATTGTTCATTTTGACATGCGGCGGCAGCCTATACATAGCTCCAACGGCTGAACTCCTGGGCAACAGGTGCGGGCTTATATCTGCATTGCAGTCTGGCATCGCGGTTCTTAATTCGGAAACTCTCTCGAGGCTTGATAACTGTGAGCTTCTGCGATTGGTGCAGCTAAAATACATCGCAGTTTCAGCCGCTCCACAGGGCTTGAAAGAGTTAGAGGGATACATGGCAAGAAACGATGAGTCCACTATTTCGGCCAGCCAAAGGAGGTCTTGCGATATGCTAGCTCCCAACATGGGAAAAAATGAAGTTGGACAGTTGGCTGGGAAATCCAACAACCAGGAAGTCACAGTATCAGAGCCGCAAATTTCTAGTCGGGACTGGCAGATGCCTAGCACAGTTGATATCCACAATCTTGAGGGTGATAATCCAGAAAAAATGTACCCCATCGATATTTACCAAAAGGAATCACCAGCCCACAGCCGCGAATTGTGGTCTAGTGACTCGTCTAATGAATCTCCTATCGCTTCTGAGGGTTCGTTTTCTTCATACGAGGATGTCATAAGGCCGGTGAAAGCGACTGGCAATGAGCCAAGCAGCCCTGATGCCCTACCATTTTCCTTATTGGGCTCGTCAATCAACAAGGAAGAGGCGCGGGCTTACGCTTCTAGGCTTTGCAACGTCAAGGAATCACAAGTTATCGATATCCTCCCATGTACTCCGCTGCAAGAAGGTCTCCTAGCATTAACAGCAAAAAGTGAAGGAAGTTATGTGGCTACGAACGTTTTCCAAATTGGAGATGGTATCAACGTGAACAATCTGCGCCACGCCTGGGAACAGGTTGTTTCAATGAATCCAATTTTACGAACACGTATCGTCAGTCTCCCTCATCATGGTATCGTGCAAGTGGTGCTGGACGAGGGTGCGATATGGACTTCAAGAGGAACCCCCTATGATATGGCGAGTTTCAAT